CCCACAGCAGGTATATAAAGCAAAAAACTGTAAAATTTGACATTCAGTCTTGCTTGACACTTCGAACTTGACAGACGTGAAAATAGTATGGCAGAAGCAATGATGAATACTCCACACAACCCCAGCTATGTGATACCTGAAGGGTATGTAGGAGCCCCCATGCCAGAGTCACAGGATGCAGTGGGATTAGATTTGGGTATGTATAATCTTCCAGCATATGCGAATAAAGAAGATATGGGGCTATTAAATACAACTCTGGCTGGGATTGTCAACATGCTGTCTGGTCTTGACAACAAGCTGACTGATCTGAAAAGTTACATCACTAAAATGAAAGGAGGAAGCACTTACCAGAAAAAACAAGGGGGAACGGGAGAAAAAAAGAAAACCAGACAGACGGATCCATGCTTCATCTGCAAAGAGTTAGGGCATTGGGCCCCAGATTGTCCCCGAAAAAAACAGGATTCGTGCTACAAGTGCGGGAAATCTGGTCATTGGGCTAATCAGTGTACAGAGGATGAGGAGGATCAACAATTGGTTAAAGAAATACAAAAACTGGAGAAAAAGCCTCAGGAACCCAAGAGGAAACTACCCCTGATGACCGATAAGGCCCAGAAGAAGAAAAAGTAAATGGTTGTATTTTTTTTACTTGAATAAAATTGCTGTGTTCTTGTTTCTATTGTGTGTTATTGTTTTTTTTTTTCAGTTTTCGGAAAATCACTGTGAATGAGTGACGTCATAATCAAATTCTTTTGACTCGCTGCCAAAATCGTAGTAGCAGCGTTGTGAATAGTAGTAGCAGCGTATATAGTAAAATGTAAACACAGTGTAAACAGACCCCCGTATTTAGGGGGCTATATGTACTGAATTGACCCGGCTATCCCCACAGGGGCTGCACTCCCTTGACCCGGCTATCCCCCAGGGGCTGCACTCCCTTGAACCGGCTATCCCCCCCAGGGGCTGCACTCGCTTGACCCGGCTATCCCCCCCAACCCCAAAAGTGCACTCAGTTGACCCGGCCGGCCAGGCGTCTTATACTACTAACATACTATAAGGATCTTTAATTCTGAAAATCGATCCAGTATTTTGTTTCTAGGTCCATCTATAATCTTCTTTCTATCAAAAACATTTTTAATTTTAGACAGACCCATGGGAAGCAATTTCAGTTTGGGGTGCACAGCCAAATATTTTCAATTGGGGGCAATATCAATTACCAAAAATTCCCTAACAAGCAGAAAAAAGGTCATCGGAGATTTAAATTGAGCGACATGAGCATAATATAGTAGCTATGTTCTCTATAGTAATACTACATTTTTTTCTGTAGTATATACTAGCTATGTTTTCTATATTATAATACTAGTATATCTGTAAAATTATGGGGGGGGGGGTTAAATTGAGGGACACGAGCTTATAGTAGCTATGTTCTCTAAAGTATTGCTACATTTTTAAAAATGTTCTTGCTAGAGTACATTATATGTTTTCTATATTATACTATATATCGGTAAAATTATGTAGGTGGGTGTGTGCACCCCCCCCCCCCTTGTTCCTTCATGCACGTTAGAAGCGGGTTTTTTTCTATTATTTTTTTTTTTTAATTTGATCAAAGATAACTCTATATATAAATGTTGTTATTCGCGTGTCTTATGTTAATAAACAATGTATAAAAATTATCCTCCACATCACAAGTAAATGAACAATACCCTTATTCATGTTATTTTATCACGGGGAAAGAACTTGTGGTAATATAACCAATACATGCAATAGTGGCGGGGAGTCTCGTTTGGCATCACTGAATTTAGTTGATTGCAAAATCCTGCAAAACTTTAACAAAACTATTAACTATTATAAATTCAATTAAATTAAAAAATAGATAATGTATAATGTTTAAGTTGTTGCAAAACAAAAAACAAAAAAAAAAACACATTTTCCCTCATTTGTCGCAAACCACAGGTTTTGAGTCCGCGGGCTTCCTCAAAGCTTAGATTCTTTGATGATAGGGTGAATCGATACGAATATCACCAGTGGGTTACCGACGATGATTTTCCCCCTGATCTGTGTCCGAACAGATTTTACATCGGGCTCGAGGTTCAAGCTTGAAACACAGGCGCGCGGAAAAGAAACATCAAGTTCAACTAGGCCTAGGCCTAATCTGAGTCCCATCTGAGTCTACGTTGGACCTGCCTTACGCTACAGGTAGAAGCACATATTCAGTAGAAAATGTTATGTTTGCCTGTGACTCTTTTACGGTTTTCTATACTCAACATTACATGCACTATGCACAGGACTTGAATGTCTCACTATTGAAAAGCTGTAGGATTCTGATTTCTTTCACAGTGGAATCCAAATGATTGTTTTAGCATGGAACCATGATAAAAATTACTCGATGAACATAATTATTTTGGATATTTGTGATGACTACTTAAAGATTGGTCAGTGTCTTAGAAGAATTATACAAGAGTAAACACTGGATTTTATGAATGTCCTTACCCTATACTCATAAATAATATTTTTGATTTTTTTTTCCTTAGATAAATCATGCATAGGGCCTATTAGTGCGAAATATCGACGTTTTCCTGGCTTTTTCACGATTTAGATATTTAACATGCCAGGAAAACCTCAGAACTGGTGCCATTACGATACTGGTTATTTCCCCGTCTCCAACTGGAACTTATTTTGATACTAAATTAAATGCTGAACTTACAATGTATCAATAGCACCATGCCTCTAGTACCCACCAATATTGATAAAAAGAAAATATCACTCCAACATTCAATACAGATCTTGCAAGATTTTGAAATGCTCAACTGTCTGATAAAATGTTTTCACTGTGGGGCATATTTTATAAAGTAAAAATAAAAAACGATGTTGTTGACTACTAAAGCCATAATGTACCATTGATAAGTTTTGAATTAAGGATTTATTTCGATTTGCAAGTATCGAAAATCAACCCGAGAATGCTGCCTCCAGGTGGAGGCTACGAATTTCCAGTTTTCATAATGGCTTCTGTTCTAACATTTTCCTGGCATGTTAAATATCTAAATCGTGAAAAAGCCTGGAAAACATCAGATATTTCGGACAAAGGGGCTCATATGGTATCAGTTTCCCGATTTTATCACTCTAAAACATGTTTAATTTTAGGCGAATTAAAAGGAGATGTCTGACGCGAGCCCACAGACTCGTTTACAGAAGAGTTTGGTCAGTCGTCGCCAGTTTCTTCTGTCTGGACTGGAGGAATCGGAGAAACGGGAGCTGGCGGAGAAGATTTCCAGACTTAGTGGAGTGTATCTGGAGTCCGAGGTTTCTCATTATGTCTCTCCTTCAGTTCAGTCATTATATCACTCCTTAATTTCAGTACAAGTCCCAACATCATTCCCAAATTATTTTTTATTATAAAAGATTTGCTTTAAAATCTGGACTTCATTGAAATAATGTGTCTTTTTTCAAAGATTGTATAAAAATTGCTTAGCATTTTGAAGTAGTTAGAATATACTGAAGTTCAATTCATAAAATATGAATGGTATTTAGCTGCATTAATATAACACAGAACCGATGTGTATCTCTTTAAATCCTAATCATCATGCTTTAGAATCAGGCCATTATGAACATACACAGATTTATTGTATGATATTTCTGCTGTTGTAGAATTTTAAGCCAGCATGTACCCATTTAGTCTGTGGTCGACTTTCCCGCAGTGAGAAGTTTCTGTGTGCCTGTGCTATGGGGATCTGGGTTCTCCACCCTCGATACATCATAGACTCCGCAGAGAAAGGGGAGTGGCTGAGAGAGGAAGACTTTGAGTGGGTTAATTTCTCCACTGGTATCTCACTGGAAATGGCTAATGCAGCGCGTCGATGGAGATTTAATGTGGAGGCTTTCAGGTCATTTCCATTTTCAGGATGGAAAGCAGCAGTGATTGTCCGAGGGTCAAGGAAAAGCTCTATCTATGCCAGGTTTAAAAATACATACTTCTGCAAGATCGTAGAATGAATAATTTTTAGTTCTTAATTATAAGCAGTTGTTTATAGTATTCATATTAACTTAGCTGTTTTTGAATAGACTTTTTATGTAACTTTTTCTGTTGACTTGACAGACTGCTATCCTGTGGTGGTGCGGAGGTCTACAAGTTGTCCTTGCCTGTGGGGAATAGAAGCCGGGTAGCTAACATTCTAACTTACGTTTTTGTTGGAGAGCGCAACATCCAAGATGCTCTTCATTTGATTGAATACGGCATCCTTTGTCTGCGTCCAGAGTTTATTGGTGATTACATATTACAGGTAGGCCATTGTGATTACATATTACAGGTAGGTCATAGGTGATTACATATTACAGGTAGGCCATTGTGATTACATATTACAGGTAGGTCATTAGTGATTACATATTACAGGTAGGTCCTTAGTGATTACATATTACAGGTAGGTCCTTAGTGATTACATATTACAGGTAGGTCATTGGTGATTACTTATTACAGGTAGGTCGTTGATTACATATTACAGGTAGGTCATTGATGAATACATATTACAGGTAGGTCAATGGTGATTACTTATTACAGGTAGGTCAGTGGTGATTACTTATTACAGGTAGGTCATAGGTGATTACATATTACATTTAGCTCATTAGTGATTACATATTACAGGTAGGTCATAGGTGATTACATATATCAGGTAGGTCATTATTGATTACATATTACATTTAGGTCATTGGTGATTACCTATTCCAGGTAGCTCATTAGTGATTACATATTACAGGTTGGTCATAGGTGATTACATATTACAGGTAGGTCATTGTTGATTACATATTACAGGTAGGTCATTGTTGATTACATATTACAGGTAGGTCATTGGTGATTGCATATTACAGGTAGGTCATTAGTGATTACATATTACAGGTAGGTCATAGGTGATTACATATTACAGGTAGCTTATTAGTGATTACATATTACAAGAGGGTCATAGGTGATTACATATTACAGGGTGGTCATTGTTGATTACATATTACAGGTAGGTCACAGGTGATTACATAGGTATGACCCTATTAAACTGACATTTCAAAAAGGATATGATTTGTATTGCATTTATACATGCACTTGTATTGTATATATTTTGTGTTCCCTCAATTATGCCTTAGACAAGTTATCTATGATCTCTTCTGCAGGATCCCCCTCCAGACCCTCTAGATTACCTTATAAAGCCAGTCGCCAGTCCTTGTAAAAGAGATCTCAGTAGCGTGGATCTGGACAACAGTTTGATGGACATTCAACTTAGCCAGTCCACCTCCCTCCTGTCTACCTCGTCCTCTCAGTTGCTGGGGTCCCTTGATACCGCATCACGGGGGTCAGCCTGTAACACCCCACAGGGGTCAGCCTGTAACACCCCCCGGGGATCAGCATGTAACACCCCCCAGAAGTGGTCAGATCTACAGAACAACAGAGTCCCTAACTCTCCACTTGTACCGACAGATTTCTCCATGAGAGTAGATGCTCCCTGTTCCTCGTCTGTACCAGATTTATCACAGAGAAAAAGTAAGGGTCTGTCCTAGTGTGACAGTGATCACCATAGAAACACTGGGTCAAAAAGTTATGTTGCAGAAATCTGTTTAAGCTAATGAATTTGGCTATGGTTTGTATTTATCATCTGGTCAGAGACCAGGAGAGCCTAGGATAAGATTGCTTGTCTATTCACTAAAGAAAGAAATTTAAAAATGCTACTTCTGCAGCTAAAATCCATTTCAATAACTCTTGGTACACCATTAGACTACACAAAAATGCTTCTCCTTTTCTGAAACAGTTAGATCTGGTACCATATAGTAGAGCTACAGTCTTATCTTTTCTGTTACGGTTAGGTCTGGTATAAATATAAGTACAAATCATTAGTGCTACAGTCTCCTCATTTCTGTTTGGTATAAGTGTAAATCAGTAGAGCTACAGTCTTGTCATTTCTGTTTGGTATAAGTGTAAATCAGTAGAGGTACAGTCTCCTTATTTCTGTTTGGTTTAAGTGTAAATCAGTAGAGCTACAGTCTTGTCATTTATGTTTGGTATAAGTGTAAATCAGTAGAGCTACAGTCTTGTCATTTATGTTTCCTTAAGGTCAGAAGAGGAAGACCATGGATGACTTGGATAATGCAGTACGTCAACTCAAAAAAATCAAGGTAGAGGCATTTACCTTAAATCTGCCTGTATGCAATTATAAATGTATTTGGGAATTTATCTTTATTATTTTCTTTATCCTGAGTGTCTTGAAGACAAACTTCATGCAGTGTTTTTGTGAATGGTGTGTTTTCTAGAACTCATTTCACTCATTTACATGTAACTGTGATCCTAAGTGGGAATGAGTTGATCATAGAAACACTTGTGCTGCTCAGGTGACCATCAAGGTCTATGGACACCTTGTTGGTATTGTTCATTATGTTACTTTTGATTTTACAGGTAGCACATCAAGGCGATTTGTGGCATTCTTCTGTGTTTACAGGATTGTCAGCAGAAAACAAACAGGTACGACAGTATACCGGAATTGTAAACAGTAAACACTGAGAAACTTAACCAAACATTAGAGAGTTCAGGAAAAGGGAGATAACTGTTGAGTTTTTAATTTTGTGTTTACAGGAGGTAGAAGTCGCCTCCCCTTTTTCTGAGAACCTGGCTGGGATGATCATGGCTTGTTTTGAGGAGGAGAGTAATGACCTGGAGTTCTTCCTGTCTGGGCTGGACCTGGTGATGTCCAGTATATCAGACCGACAGTTCCCAACAGACAACATCATCAGAACTATTGTCAAGGGACTGATAAAGGACAGGGGACCAAAGGTAGGATCTTATCTTCTGAAAATAGGCTTGCTCTTGGGGAACTGAAATCTTGTGATGAACATGTACGAGGGTTGTCCCAAAATTCCGTAGACAAGCGTTGTTTTGTAGGAACCCTATGTCATACATTAATGAAACTTCGTATATAGATTAAACAAACACTTTCTAATAAATTTGTAGACAAATATGGAGTAACTACACAAATTATTCCAAATTAAAAGACACATTTCATTTTCTGGTGTAGGTAGGTGGCGCAATACCCAAATGTTGCAATTAAAATCTGGTATATTATATTTAAAACACTACGGAAAAGTAATTACTAACCATATTTTTTCTTAATGGAAATTCTTAATATTGTTTTATTAACTATACTTCCTCAAATTTTGGTGTTTATTCTTTGATAAATATGAATTTTATAACGTTTTGTATACATGGAGATGAAATCTGAATTTTAGAAAAATGGTGGCTGCGTTGGCCCAGGCGGCGCACTGGACTATGATCAAGTGTTTTGATCCTGATTTCACTTTTACAGAAATGTACCAGTCATAGATGTTTGGTAGACAAGGAAACTTTTTTCTCGTCCTTAGTATTCAAAATGACTAAAACGGTTTCTCTATGTTTATGTGAATAACAGTGACTGAAATAAAAGACAGGGCTAAGAAATGGGCAAGAGTTCCATTGTGCAAATCCATTAGAGAAAACAGAGGAAGAGCCCGTAGAAATATAGCGTTTTCAAATTATTATTATTTCATACCTGTACATGCATATACTTTGTTTACATATTTTAATGTTTCATCATATCATAGTAATTAAGATATGTTACATTTATAACTATAACGGTTTCGTTTAATTCAAGACTGAGATACTGGTAATTGAAATATTTCCTCAAAAAATCTGAACCGTTGACATTTGTATTTTTTGACGTTGCAGATTGCTCCGGGTGTTAGAGAACTATATCACTTTAAATGTTATTACTCGAAAAGTTTTCAGGAAAACATGATAAAACTTCGTAATTTATCTGCCAAAAACACGCTTTATCCACCCGAAAATTTTATAAAGATACGTTAATTTCTTTCAAAAATATGAGCTCAGTCTACGAAATTTTGGGACAACCCTCATACTTTACATATTATTTTTTTTATTAGAGCCCCCAAACTGAGTTGATCCAGTATCGCTGTTACAACGTCCTGATGAAAATCCTCTCTCTACACCCACCCACCACCCCCACGACCACCGAGCTTTACCGGGCAGCATACACAGATACTCAGGATACCACACAGACCCAGGGCACAGTGTTCAGGTAATGGCACCTGTCATCTCCTGTTTGATGAAATGTCAATACTGTATACAGGGAAATTTTCGCCCCCGTTTTATTTTCGCCCCTTTCGCCCTCGTTGGAAGTGGGCGAATTTAAAACGGGGGCGAATTAAAAGTAAATAGTACATGTATAATATCTTTAACAAAAATCTTTCTGGGCGAATTTAACACGGGACAAACTTGTTTCCAAATGAGAAAGGGCGAAAATAACACGGGGCGAAAATAACCCTGTATACAGTATTCTATTATTGATCAATATTTCCTGATTCATTGATATTTAACAATTTAAGTGCAAATTTATACATTTTAGTGTCATGTTTTGATAGAATAAGTGGTAAGAGATGAATCAGTTGGTTTTAAAAACCATTCCTCTGTTCACAGCTCTTTTCTCCGGAGACTGGCTGACACAGATAGTACAACTTTTCCAAAAGGCCATGTTCTGCTACTGAGGTTTATTGTAGCGGCCCTGGAAGTCAATCTCCAGCATTATTTGGACAGGTATATATATTTCTACTGAGGTTTATTGTAGCATCCCTAGAAGTCAACCTCCAGCATTATTTGGACTGGTGTGAATCTTTACCCTGATTTTAGCTCACCTTAATGAAGTTAGGGGTGGGGAGTGTATGTGATACAGTCAGTGTTGGCACTCAGGTTAAAAGTTTTTGGAGCAGTTTTCTTTTCAAGTACTTCTATGCTTTACATAATTAGAGATCCGTGAAGGATGCTTCTAGTATGTTTCATTGTACCTGTCAAGGTTTCAGATGTTGCAATTTCAGCAAAGTATGACGAGATTGATTTTTTAGGTCACCTGAGTAAACTCAGGTGACCTATTGCTATCTGTTTTTGTCCGTCGTCGTTCGTCGTTCGTCGTGCGTTAACATTTGAACATTTTTAACTTCCTCTCTGAAACCACAACCAATTTCAACCAAATTTGGCATATAGCATCTATGGGTGAAGGGGAACAAAAATTGTGAATTTCATGGTTCCTGCCCCCCTGGGGCCTGGGGGGTAGGGCAAAAACCACCAAAATCAGTGCAATCTTTAAAAATCTTCTTCTTTACTCCTGGACATCAAGCAGTCAAACTGTTTGTATGATTGTAATCAGCATTGAGTCCTCTACCAAAATTGTGAAATTCATGGCCCCAGGGTCAGGGGTTCTAGTGCTAGGGCGGGTCTAAACAGGTTATATAGTGAAAATGCATTATTAGGGCCCCGCAAGGATTTGCGGGTGCCCTATAGTAATCACTCTGTCTGTCCGTCTGTCTGTCTGTCTGTCTGTCTGTCCATCTGTCACTCTTCCGTCCACAAATTTTCAGTTTTTTTCTAATAACTTTTTTTATGGTTGCCCAATCAAGTTCAAATTTGGTATGGTAGTTCAGTAGGCAGAAATACATATTTTGATGCTAAGTTTGGTTCTCTATGTCTTCTGGTTTAGAGCTAGGGTGGTGGGGTAGATTCCTTAACTATGCATAAGAATGAATGGCCAACTTTTTTTTTGGTTGCCCAGTCAAGTACAAATTTGGTATGGTAGTTCAGTAGGCAGAAATACATATTTTGATGCTAAGTTTGCTTCTCTATGTCCCCTGGTTTGGAGCTGGGGTGGTGGGGTAGATTCCTTAACTTTATATATGAAAGCATTGGCAAAGAGAAATAACTGCTGAAGATGTTCCCATTATAAACTGAATGCTCCTATGAGTCCCTTGGGATTAATTATCTTTCCTCCTGAAGAAAATCCAGAGCATTATATTTATCTGTCAAATTGAGTTGAATTACCACCACTGTCTGCAAATGAAGTTTGTTTTGAAGTTAAGTCAATTTGGAATGCTATGAACACTCTGAAATGTGGATTTAAATATAAATTTTTATAATTTATTTTTGTTTAATAGTTATGATTTCATTGAATTTTAATTACAAGAAATAGATTAAAGAAGATTTTTTGATTTACATTTTTCACTTTATGTTAATTCAAGAATATTATTTATTTTTAGGATAGTAGTATAAAAACCCCATTCTATCATTAATACTGAAAATGTTCTTATTGTAACTTTAGAAGAAAATGATGAGAAAGGTACACTTAATCCCTTGGGATTAATTATCTAGCCTGCTGCAGAAAATTTAGTAGGCTTTTCTTTATCTGTCACTTTTAGATTAATGAAAACCTTTGTCTGCAACTGCTGTTTGTTTGAAGATAAGGTCAAGCCTTCATGATATTTGCATTCATTGAAGGCTGGCATTTTATATAATACAAGCTTCATAATTATTTAAATATAGATTCAATGTTAGGTTGTTCTTTACTGCTTAATGTAAATACAAGGATATTATTTTCAGGCTTTTGAATATTCATGAATTATCTTGAAATTTTAAGAATACAGTTGCTGTTGCTTATTCTTCGTACATTTTTTAATCATTCCGTAAGCTGCACCCTATTAATTCTACCCCATGGCGGGGCCCTTGCTGACTTGTCAGTTTTCTAGTTTCTTTAAAATTCTTCTTTTCTGCTCTTGGACGTTAAATAAACTAGCCAAGTGCATAGGTAAGTTGAAAATGACGGCCTTTTCCAAAATTGTGAAATTTATGGCCCCAGGGTCAGGGGTTCTAGTGCTAGGGCAGGGCTATATAGATTATATAGTGAAAATGCATAAATTCTTTGAAATTCTTCTTTTCTGTTTGTGGGCATTAAATAAACTAACCAAGTGCATAGTAATGTTGAATTAGACTGTCTCTTCTCAAATTGTGAATTTAATCCCCCCAGGATCAGGGGTTCTAGTGGTAGGGTGGGGCTATATAGATTATATTGTTAAATGCAATAATTCTTTGAAATTCTTCTTCTCTGCTCATGGGCATTAAATAAACTAACCAAGTGCATAGCTATGTTGAATAAGTTTGCCTCTTCCAAAATTGTGAATTTCATGGCCCCAGGGTCAGGAGTTCTAGTGTTAGGGCGGGGCTATATAGATTATTTAGTAAAAAATGAATTATTTCTTTGAAAATCTTCTTCTTTGCTCCTGAGTATTAAATAAACTAACCAAGTACATAGTTTTGTTGAATAAGGCTACCTCTTCCAAAATTGTGAATTTCAGGGTCCCTGGGTAAGGGCTTCTTGTGTTAGGGCGGGGCTCTAATGTTTATGTAGTGAAAATGCATGAATCCTTTGAAAATCTTTTCCTTTGTTGTTGGGTATAATGTCAAATGATCTTAGTATATATTTATGACAAAAAACCTGCTTCTTCCAAAAACCGTTAATTTCCTGGCCCCTGGAACAGAGGTACTTTGAGGGTGGTGGGGGGGGTTACATAATCTGAAATAATTTAATCCTTTGAAATCTGCACTTTGGTATTAATCAACAGCAGTGTGACATCAAATTTTAAAAAATTTCTAAAATTTTGAAAGATATGGCCCCGGGGTCAATGGTTCCTGTGGGATGGGGAGCTAAACTGTCGACCAACCCTAACACAAGTAGCTCTAACCCAGGGCCCCTGAAATTCACTAAAAGTGGAAATGCATTTTCTCTGTGTTACTCTGATCTACCTCTGGGTATTAAGTAACCAAAATAAGCATGGTGAGTGCATAATTATGATAAGCAATGGTGCCTCTTTCAAAATCGTGAATTTCATGGCCTCTAGTTTAAAACATGAATCAAATTCAATTGTTGGAAAGTTGTCGCATGATACTCAGGTGACCTATAAGGCCCGTGGGCCTCTTGTTTGGAGCAGGTCTCATTTCCAATGAAATATAAGCCCTTTTTGACCAAACTGGCATGAATGATACATGTACATTAAAAGAAGCACACTACCAGGATTGCTTTCAGAGCTGGATCTGACCTACATTTTTCAGATGAGTGAGGTAAGTTTTGGGAGGGCCTCATTTCCAAGTAACTAATCTTGTTGATTTCACTGCAGTTTTGCTATGAAATGTGACCTTACAGTTTACAATATTGATGTTTCTCTTGTCTTAAATTTCATATTTAACTCTTGAAATCCCAAGTCCAAGCATTTTGCTGGAATATCGGTACAGCAAAAATAAATTACAACTCGACAAACTTTGTCAATAAATCGCAATAAATGGGAGTATCGATATTATGCAGCTGTACAATTTAACATGACATGGCTACATTAAATTAATATCAACTATTTTATGAAAAATCTCTATATTTTGACTAGATAACATACATGATGTAGCTTTGAATATGAATATGTATGTGGACTATTTGTTTGCAGAATTGAGAAAGAGGAGATAAATATCCGTAAACTGAGGGGATGTATGTACGCTCAGATTTTATGGCCTGGCAGCACACTGTTGTCTGTCAGTGCCACGTGTAAGGACTTGGTTAAACTGTTTGGATTCTGTGTCACTGAAGATATGGATGACTCAATGAAGGTAAGGCTACCATCTTGATTTTAATATTTCTTAAAACATTCTTTCCAGTTAGTCAACTACATGATGAATAAATTGTTTTGTGACTTAATAATCACATGATGAATACATTATTTTATGACTTAATAAACTAACATTTCAGATAATTTTGAAATCACACATTGATACTTTTTTGAATTTAGGTCTTGTCCTTAAAAATACCCTGAGTTGGTGTTTGTATATTCGACAATCATTTTTGGAGAAAGATTTGTGACTTTGGTTCACATTATAGTTATGTAATATAATTACAGAGAGACCTGATAAAGCTGAGCACCAGCCTGATTTGTATGGCAGTACTTATTGCACAGTACGTAGAGACAGGTCAGAGGTTAAACTTACAGGAGCCAATCGTACCCAGCCATACAGCAGCCTCCTTACTGCACGAAGCGGTACGCCAAGTTCCAAGTAAGGTCATTCTTATGAAATTATCAGAGGGTGAAGTTCAATATCTTTGCTTAATACAAGGCTATATTAGGGTCCATATGTACAGTATTTAATAAACAGTTGAGGTTCAATAATCTGAACATTAATAATCAGTATCCAAACAAATTTTTTTGAGAATAGAATTTTTAGCACACCTGAGCCAAAGGCTCAAGTGAGCTTTTCTGATCACATTTTGTCTGGCTAGCTGTCTGTCTGTAAACTTTTCACATTTTCGACTTCTTGTCAAGAACCGATGGGTCAATTTACACTAAACTTGCCACATAGCATCCTTGGGTGAAGGGGATTCAAGTTTGTTTAAATGAAGGGCCACAAATCATAATTGGGAATTAATGAAAATTTGCTGGTATGTTTTAAAAATCTTCTTCTAAAGAACCACTGTGCCAGGAAAGATGAAACTTATGGGGAAACATCCTCAGGTAGTGTAGATTCAAGTTTGTTCAAATCATGACCCCCAGGATAGGGCGGTGCCACAATGGCCGACCAAAGTTTTACATAGAAATATATAGGAAAATTCTTTAAAAATTTTTTTCTCAAGAATAACAAAGCCATTGATCATATTTATATGGAAGCATCCTCAGGTAGTGTAGATTCAAGTTTGTTCAAATCATTACCCCCGGGGGTAGGGCGGGGCCACAATGGCCGACCAAAGTTTTACATAGAAATATATAGGAAAATTCTTTAAAAATCTTGGTCTCAAGAATAACAAAGCCATAATTGATCATATTTATATGGAAGCATCCTCAGATAGTGTAGATTCAAGTTTGTTTATATCATGACTCCGGGGGGTAGGGCAGGGCCACAATGGCCAACCAAAGTTTTACATAGAAATATATAGGAAAATTCTTTAAAAATCTTGGTCTCAAGAATAACAAAGCCATAATTGATCATATTTATATGGAAGCATCCTCAGGTAGTGTAGATTCAAATTTGTTCAAATCATGACCCCCGGGGGTAGGGCGGGGCCACAATGGCCAACCAAAGTTTTACATAGTATTCAAAGGAAAATTCTTTAAAAATCTTCTTCTCAAGAATAACAAAGCCATGATTGATTATATTTATGTGGAAGCATCCTCAGGTAGTGTAAATTCAAGTTTGTTTATATCATGACTCCGGGGGGTAGGGCGGGGCCACAATGGCCAACCAAAGTTTTACATAGAAATATATAGGAAAATTTCTTTAAAAATCCTCTTCTCAAGAATAACAAAGCCATAATTGATCATATTTATATGGAAGCATCCTCAGGTAGTGTAGATTCAAGTTTGTTCAAATCATGACCCCCAGGGGTAGGGCTTGACCAAAATGGCCAGCCAAAGTTTTACATAGAAATATGTAGGAGAATTCTTTAAAAATCTTCTTCTCAAGAATAGCAAAGCCATGATTGGTCATGGGACTACTTTTGGATTTGAACTTTTCAATAATAAACCAATTTCTGCTTTTTCCTAGCCACAGTGCTCAGGTGAGCGTTGTGGCCCAGGGACCTCTTGTTACAAATTATCTTTGGTTTGGATGATTTGATCAATTGCTTCTTTGATAATATGGTTTGACTATGAATACTTTTATTTGATTATTATAAAAATTATATTTCCGTTTGAACATATAGGCACTCTCAGGATAGAGTTATTAAGAACAATTCTTAGGAACCTGAGTCCTTCTTGGATTGCTGTTCATTTCTGCTGCTTACTTCTCAAAAATCTAGACGATTATCTTCTGCTGCAAGATCTTCCAGCGGAGGGCATAAGTCTGAAGGAAATTGTAAGCTGTTTCTAGATGTAATTTTGTGTCTTACTTTTGTTAAAAAAAAAGATAAAGTGAATGTTTGTAGTTCATGTTATGTAACAATTTTTTTCTGAATTTCAGGTCACAAAGTACTTCTTTCTGTTACCAAAACTTAACAGCAATCAAAGTAATCTAAGACAGAGTTCACATAAAAAGAGGAGTGTATCCAGGTCTGTTTATTATTTACATACATGAATCCTGTTCAAGAGCCAAAGCCACTTTGGGCATTATTAGGGCCCCGCAAGGATTTGCGGGTGCCCTATAGTAATCACTCTGTCCGTCCGTCTGTCTGTCTGTCTGTCTGTCTGTCCGTCTATCACTCTTCCGTCCACAAATTTTCTGTTTTTTTCTAATAACTTTTTTTTATGGTTGCCCAATCAAGTTCAAATTTGGTATGGTAGTTCAGTAGGCAGAAATACATATTTTGATGCTAAGTTTGGTTCTCTATGTCTTCTGGTTTGGAGCTGGGGTGGTTGGGTAGATTCCTTAACTATGCATAAGAATGAATGGGCAACTTTTTTTATGGCTGCCCTATCAAGTACAAATTTGGTATGATAGTTCAGTCATACATGTTAACTCTACCGATTTAGGCGGGAGTCTACCGCTTTTTTACTCCATCTCCCGCCTACCGATTTTATGTGTAAATCTACCGCTTTTCTACAAAAATTTCGTCTTAAGTAATTTTGGTTCGCTTGGGTATCCATTTTTGAAGCCACTCGTCATGAAATCTCGTTAGATATCGCGTGATTTGACCCGGAATCATACAAACGCTTTATTTGTACCGATGTGTACATAGATTTCAAGCACGTATTTGACAACGACAACAGCACAAAATTAGTGATTACATTGGTTACGATAAATTTCGTCGACATTACTGCCATGAAAAAGGAAATACAGCATTTTAGAATTGGATGAAAACCTTTGACATCGTCTATAAAAGCACAGGAGCTCGCAATTTAATCAATAAAGTCAATTAAAATCACTCGATTGACCAGGTCATGAGACACATCTCTACTTTCGTTTTCGATCATCGCGGGAAATCCAATTTATTTAACGAAAGATAGATCTAGATTAAACTTTGTCATCATTTGTTGTGTTTGACAACTGAATGAATATTCAGAATTACTGCTTCTTGGCTATCTAAGCAAAGACAATTCTTCAAAAGGCTAAGTTAAGAAGCCAATCATAGCAAAATGATGAACATATTTAAAAAATATTTGAATATGTATAATTTATGTCAAACTTAACGTGTTTATGTCTATTTCTTTGCAATATATATTTAAGATTAATAATTGTATTTTCATTTAAAACCATACATGTATATTACATGCAATATATCTTCATAAATCCAAGCGTAAAACAACGCGCGCAATGCTACCGCTTTCGTGGTCTGAATCTCCCTATTTTTCATCACAATAGGTTAACATGTATGGTTCAGTAGGCAGAAATACATATTTTGATGCTAAGTTTGGTTCTCTATGTCCCCTGGTTTGGAGCTGGGGTGGTGGGGTAGATTCCTTAACTTTATATACAAAAGCATTGGCAAAGAGAGATAACTGCTGAAGATGTTCCTATTGTAAAACTGAATGCTGCTATGAGTCCCTTGGGATTAATTAGCTTTCCTCCTGAAGAAAATCCAGAGCATTATCTTTATCTGTCAAATTGAGATGAATTTCCACCTCTGTCTGCAAATGAAGTTTGTTTTGAAGTTAAGTCAATTTGGAATGCTATGAACACTCTGAAATGTGGATTTAAATATTATAATTTTTTATAATTTATATTTGTTAAATAGTTATGATTTCATTGAATTCTAATAACAAGAAATAGATTAAAGAAGATTTTTTTAACCATTTTTTGATTTACTTTTTTCACTTTATGTTAATTCAAGCATATTATTAATTTTTAGAATAGTTGTATAAAAACCCCATTCTATCATTAATACTGAAAAAGTTCTTATTGTACATTAGAAGAAAATGATGAGAGAGGTACAATTAATCCCTTGGGATTAATTATCTAGCCAGCTGCAGAAAATTTAGTAGGCTTTTCTTTATTCTGTCACTTTAAGATTAATGAAAACCTTTGTCTGCAACTGCTGTTTGTTTGAAGTTAAGGTCAAGCCTTCATGATATTTGCATTCATTGAAGGCTGGCATTTTATATAACACAAATTCTTCATAATTGTTTAAATATACATTAAGTTGTTCTTTACTGTCTAATGTAAGTACAAGGATATTATTTTCAGGTTTTTGAATATTCAGGAATTATCTTGAAATTTTAAGAATACAGTTGCTGTTGCTGTTGCTTATTCTTCGTACATTTTTAGCTCTTCTGAGCCAAAGGCTCAAAGAGCTAATGCTATGGCCATTTGTGCGGTGTGCGTCGTGCGGTGTGCGGTGTGCGTTAACTTTTTAGAATATGGGCCATAACTCAAGAACCCCTTGGCCAATCAGTGTCAAATTTGTCACAGGGTATCCTTGGCCCAAGGGCTACCATTTATACTAAAATAAGGGTTGGGACCCTGAATCAAGGGGAGATAATCAGGAAAACAAAACAAAAAGTACTCGTTGCTAAAAAATCTTCTTCTCCAGAACCACCAGGCAGATTTTCACCAAACTTACATACAAGGATCAGGATATGTTGAAGATTGAAAATTGTTCAAGGCATGACCCTGGGACAAAGGGCGTGGTCTCAAGGTCACTTTAAAGTTGACCTAAATTTACAATTAATAAAAATGTTCATATTTCGCTTTCTATAAGGACTAGGATCATCAAATCTTGTAAGTTGATGCATCTTAGGACTTCACATCATGTTAACTCAAAAGTAGGTCACGGTGACCTACTTTTTAAATTTTGCGGGCATTTGTTTTCAAATTGATTTAAAGGCATATTTTGGATACTTTAAGGCCTATGATCATCAAACTTAGTCAGTTGATGCATCTTGGGTCCTTGAACAACGTCAACTTAAAAGTAGGTCACCGTGACCTACTTTTTGAACTTCATGACTTATCCTTTTCAAAACATTTAATCCCATTATTTCAGGCACTAAAAGGGTTAGAAACATCAAATCTTGTAAGTTGCTGCATCATGGGACCTTAAAACGTATTTAAGAAAAAGTAGGTCACTGTGACCTACTTTTAGAATTTTGCAGGCATTTGTTTTCAAATTGTTTAAAAGGCATATTTTGATTACCTTCAAACCTATGATCATCAAACTTGGTCAGGAGATGCATCTTGGGACTCTGAAAAATGTCGACCAAAATGTAGGTCATAGTGACCTACTTTCGACATTTTATGGCTATATTTAAGTATCTTAGGTATTTATTGGCTTAGAATCATCAAACTTTGTCAGTTGATGCATCTTGGGTTTTTGAATAGTGACAACCAAAAATTAGGTCACAGTGACCTACTTTTGACATTTTATGGCTATATTTAAGTATCTCCGGTACTTATTGGCTTAGAATCATCAAACTTTGTCAGTTGATGCATCTTGGGTTTTCGGAGAATGTCAACCAAAAAGTAGGTCACGGTGACCTGTTTTTTGACATTTTATGGCTATATTTAAGTATCTCTAGTACTTATTGGTTTAGAATCATCATACTTTGTCAGTTGATGCATCTTTGGTTTTCGGAGAATAATGACCAAAAATTAGGTCATGGTGACCTACTTTTGAATATCTCAGGTATTTATTGGCTTAGAATTATCAAACTTGGTCATCAGATGCATCTTGGGACTCTAAAAAATGTCAACTAAAATGTAGGTCACGATGACCTACTTTAGACATTTTATGGCTATATTTAAGTATTCTCCGGTACTTGTTGGCTTAGAATCATCAAACTTTGTCAGTAAATGCATCTTGGGTTTTCAGAGAATGTCGACCAAAAAGTAGGTCACGGTGACCTACTTTTTGACATTTTATGGCTATATCTATGTATCTCTAGTACATCGATTTAGAATCATCATACTTTGTCAGTTGATGCATCTTGGATTTTCGGAGAATGTCGACCTAAAAGTAGGTCATGGTGACCTACTTTTGAATATCTCAGGTATTTATTGGCTTAGAATTATCAAACTTGGTCAGCAGATGCATCTTGGGACTCTAAAAAATGTCAACCAAAATTTAGGTCACGATGACCTACTTTCGACATTTTATGGCTATATTTAAGTATCTCTGGTACTTATTGGTTAAGAATCATCATACTTTGTCAGTTGATGCATCTTGGGTTTTCTGAGAATGTTGACCAAAGAGTAGGTAAACAGTGACCTACTTTTGAATATCTCAGGTATTTATTGGCTTAGAATTATCAAACTTAGTTAGCAGATGCATCTTGGGACTCTGAAAAATGTCGACTAAAATGTAGGTCACAATGACCTATTTTCGACATTTATGGGTATATTTATGTATCTTAGGTATTTATTGGCTTAGAATAATCAAACTTTGTCACTTGATCCATTTTGTGATTTCCAAGAATGTAGACCAAAAAGTAGTTCTAATTGGCTAAGAATCATAAAACTTTGTCAGGTGATGCAACTTGGGTCTTTAATAGGATACTTAGGGTTAGAGGCTTCAAATACAAGTGATAGGTTGTACAATTTATCAGAAGAGCGATTCAAGGCCCTTGGGCCTCTTGTTTAATCATTCCGTAAGCTGCACCCTATTAATTCTACCCCATGGCGGGGCCCTTGCTGACTGGTCAGTTTTCTAGTTTGGTCCTGAGAATTTCTGAAAAATCAAAACCGCTCGGTCTAGGTTGCAAATGCAGTAATTATCACTTGGAGTGTTGGTGACCATGTATCGATTAATCATGACGTAATTTCCCATCAAGTCAGTGCATTATGACGTCATAAAATGCGTCATTTTTCTCATATCCTGTAAATTCCTTTGAAAATCACCTAAAATTGAAGCGTTTTTTCAATATTTCGTATAGAGCACAACCTCTGATCCAAAATATGCAAATACATAATGAAAGCTCTGTTTCTGAAGATCATAAAACATGTTTTATTTTTTGGATTGTGGTCTATGCTCATATTTTAATTGTTTGCTGAAGGTAGTCAAATACGCATGTTTTCTGCAAATTTCAAGAACATTGTAATTTCTCAAACCTGTTTTCCAATTTGTGAATTCTCAAAAACAAAATTTTATAGAAAATTAAAGCACCAAGTGTCTACTTTATTTTGATATATGAAATGGGAAATAGGGTGATAGTTAAGTAACTGATATAAGTACAGGGCTATTTTATGTATAACATGGCTCTTGCTCTCTGTACTGATTGTTTTACATGATGGCCAGTGTATTGTTTCCAAACAAGCATTAAGACATTTACAGACAAATTATTTTCCTACTTTGTCACAGGTTAATATATAACTTAGGCCTTCAACAATATGATCCGATTTGATATATCTAAACAAGTACATTGTAAAAGAGGAATGTTTAAAACATATAGGTCACAGCAGGAGAGTAACACGAGAACGAGGAGATCGCTGCTGAAGGGGAGAGACAAGGAGAACGAAGGATTGGGTGAGGGAACCAGTACAACGTCAGCTGGGAAAAATGTCAACAAGAAGAACATTAAAGGTCAAGGACAGAAAATAAGTCAGCTTATGACCATTGAGATTTTGTATTGTATTGTCTGGAAGTCCATGTATTTAGAAAATCATAATAGAGATTAATTCACTTTTATAGTTTAAAGTAAGTTAAAGTAAGAAATGTTGCTAGAAATCATGACAAGATGTGCTGTTAGAAGTATATTTGGTATAGTTGTTCATTTTAGTTGTATCTTTGTTGTGGAGAAACTCCTCTACAAGCAGCTTGTATTAAAAACGATCTGAAGAAGGTCAGGCAGCTTCTGAAGATTCCAGGTAGGCCAGCGTTTTGTTCTCTCTATGCAGTTGTTAAAACCTGGAAAAATTGGAATTTTTGGTACACTTTAGGCTATCTAAATTTAACCCTTTGTGTGCGGGAACCCAATATATTGGGTCTGACGTCACAGACGCTTGCGTGCGGGAACCCAATATGTTGGGTCTGAGTCTGAAATTAGCGCTTCGTCCCATAAAATGTCGTATAAAACGTATAAATGAGCTGTGAATTATTCAAAATCTATCAAACTGTAGTATACAACTACAACACATTGAAAAATGGTAATTAAGATGTGAAAATATGTGAATTGTTTGTGAAATTGTGATTTAAAGTGAAGGTGTTTGGCGTTTGTTACGATGAAAGTCAGTCCGCTATATTTGGAAACAGGGGAAAAACGCGCATGTAATAAATATCTACTGACTTGCTCAAAATAAAGGA